AGCATGAAAAGGCATCACACAAATACGAAGGAAGGGGCACTCTATTTGCATGCAGTCCTAAGACAAAAATGAGGATTTCAAAAGAATTTTATGCTTGTGGCCCTTCAGAGCTATTTGTTCATCTAACAAGTTATATTTACTGAGTATCTACAATAGATCACATGCTGTTCTTAGTACTGGGGATGAGCAGAGAACGAGGGACAGAAAGTTCTTTTTCTCCTGGAGCTTGTATTTTAGTGGACAGAAGCAGAAAACATGTAAACAAGATTATTTAAAGGGCGATGTTTAGTGTAAAGGAAACCAAAGGGAGAAATGTGCCAGAGTGACTAGGGGAATGCTTCCTTCAGTTGGGAATTACGGGAGGTCTCTCTGAGGAGGTGATGTTTAAGCTGAGACATGGATGGCAAGACAAGTTGGGCATGTTCCAGGGAAAGACTCATCTCGACCGAGTAGCAAGTGCCAGGTGCAGAGGTGACAGAGAGGACAAGGATGGGAACCAATGTGGTGCATTGGGGAAGAGCCAGAGGCAGCTGTAGCTGGAGTGTGGTGGGCAAGGGGAGAGACGAAAGAGACTCAAAGGTAAGTTCAGAGCGGGAGGAATGCAGACCATGATGACAGGTCACGAGGAGCTGGGTTTTTGTGCCAACTGTAATGGGAGGTCATTAGGAGGTCTTAAGCAGGGGAGTCGCTTGAAATCATTTACACGTTACAAAAATATCCCTCTGGTTGCTGTTTGGAGCATATGTGAAGGCAGTAAAAACAAGGAGGCCAGCTAGGAGGCCAGGGTTCATACAAGTGACAGATATTGGTGGCTTAGTCAGGATGACAGGTGCTCTGCTCCTGGTTGCAGAATGGACTATGCACACTCTTCCCTCATAGTAGGTGTACATACATAGGGAGGAAAACTTCAAAGGCTGTCCCACTGCCTGTGGGGTGTTAATGTCTGTATTCATGAGAGTGCAGAGGAGAGAGCTGTGTCAAAAGATCCCAAACACATTGCAGTTTAAACAAGGTGCAGGTTTCCTTCTTTCTCACAGAACAGAGGTGAGCACTCCAGGCCTGGGTAAGAGACTGGCTTGAGAAGCACAAAATGATACCGTGAGGAGCATGTCTTCTGCCACCTGTGGCTTTCATCTCCTGGTTCTGGATGGATCCTTTAGTTCATATATCCTATCCAGTTGAAAGATAGAAGGGGCAAAGGAATCCATACTCATTTTTCTTAAAGACCCAGAGTGGCACACAATTTCCAGCTACATCCCACACCCACAATTCAGGCACATGTCCACATCAAGCTGCAAGGGAGGCTGGGATATGTGTCTCTAGCTGAGTTGTCAGGTGTCCCCCCACCCCCAAAACTCACACATTAATTAAATATAGGGAGAATGGATATTGGGTGACAAGAACAGTCTCTGTCACAACATTTTAAAAATTATCTGCACAGTCATCAGTTATGGACTGAATTGTGTCCCCTCCAAAATTCACATGTTGAAGCCCTTACCCCCGGTTCCTTAGAAAGTGATTGTGTTTGGAGATAAGGGACTTTGCAGAGGTAATTAAGGTTACACGAGGTCATATGGATAGGACCCTAATCCAATATAACTGGTGTCCTATAAGAAGAGGAGGAGACACAAGAAACATGTGCACAGAGGAAAGGCCATCTGAGGACACAGCAAGAAGACAGCCATCCGCAAGCCAGTAACAGAGGCTGCAGGAGAAAACTAACCTGTTAACACCTTGACCTGTAGCCTTCAGAATGGTGAGAAATACATTTCTGTTGCTTAAGCCACCCAGTCTGTGGTAATCTGTTATGTCAGCCTTAGCAGATCCATACACCACCCTCCTTGATAATGGTCATAAGGCAGACAATTCCACTTCCCCTCCTTGACCCCCATTCTTACCCCCACCAAAGTTAATTGGTCTGGGGTGGAGAGATCAGAGAGAGAGAATTTGGGCAGTTTACCACTTCTGCTTTCAAATTTCATGGAGCTCAGCTGTTGTCCCTGCCTTTGGGTTCTGCAAGACACCTCTATATCCTTGAAATCACCATCTCCTTTCTCAGGTTGGTATCTGCCATTTGCAACCAGAGGAATTCAGCAGAGAAGGTAAAATTTGTAGAGATAAAAAATATTTATCTAAAAAGAAATGGCTCTAGGGGTGCCTTGGTAACTCAGTCAGCTGGGCAATTGACTTGATTTCAGCTAAGGTCATGGGATTGAACCCTGTGGGGCTCTGCACAGGCAACATGGAGTCTGCTTGAGATTCTCTCTCTCTGCCCCTTCCCTGCTCATTGTCTTTCTCTCTCTCATTCAAAATAAATACATAAACATTTTTTAAAAATTAAAAAAATGTTAAAGTTTATTAATTTATTTTGAGAGAAAGCGTGTGTGTGCGCGCACACAAGTGGGGGAGGGGCAGAGAGAGTGAGAGAGAGAATCCTAAGCAGGCTCTTTACTGTCAGTGCAGAACCTGATATGGGGCTGCAACTCTTGGCCTGTCAGATCATGACCTGAGCCAAAATCAACAGCCAGATGCTCAGCCAACGGAGCCACCCAGGCACCCCTAAAATATCAAAGTTCTATCTTTTCAATGTCAACAATACTCTCTGGGAAATAGATTGAAACCATTGAAAAATATTTGATCATTTAAAATGTGTGACATAGTTTGTTGTTTGCTGTTTTGTTTTGTTTTGTTGGTTTAGAAAACAGTCCAACAGAGGCTAAGGAAAATTTATAATTTGAGAGAGGTCCTGTGAAAGAAAGTAAGCGCTCTCTTGAAGAGAGCTAATGCCAATAGAAGATGACTCTAATAAAATTCCATTAAAGCTTATTTCAATTATTAATTACAAAATGGTTTATTATTTATTAAATAAACTCATTTAGTTATTATTGAATGGGCTAACTCCAGAAGGGAAGGGCTTTATTTTTTTCTCTAACCACTGCCTTACAACCAGGTTTTGTAGAATCTCCCATTATGGGGATCTATTCAGAATCTACTCTGAATCTTGGGCAGATGCCATAGATCTTAGTGACGTATCGTTTTGATAATTGCACCTCTATATCAGGCATTAAAATGTCCAGGACAGTCCAATTAACATCAATCTCACATCTAATTCAAAATTTTGCTTGGCTCTATCTCAGGTCTTTCTTGCAGTGAAACAGGGAATAAGTGTGGTCAGTTTCTTTATTCTTCCACCATCTTCTCTGCCTTCTTTATATTCTGGATGTGCCCAGACCACTGCAAGAGAAGAGCATACTAGACAAAGAGGAGCCAATATCCCTACATTTAACTATTGGGTAAGGCAGACAAGCCATTGTGTCAACTCTTACTATGGCAGAGTCCAAATGTTGTCTCTTTCACAGAACGCATTTGTTGGTTATTCAGGGGACTCAGGTGGATCCCACACTGCACAGTTCCTTGATTCAGGGGCATATTCTCTGGCTGATGGCTTGCAGCAATTGCCCCTCCATACACCTCTTCCCCCTAACCCTATGGCTTCTACTACTATAGTCCCTTTGCAAACAGGCTGCCACGAGACCTGGTAGTTGAAGTCTCATCATGACAGCTCAAGCCCACCTATCCTTCCCACAGTCAACAAGGTCTACAAGAAATTCACAGACTTTGCCATGCCAAAAAATGGAAGTCAGGTTGCAATCACTGCTTCTCTTCTCTCCTCATTTTGCCATTTTGGGCTACCCCCGTCAACCTCTCACCTACTGAATTGTCCAGGGAGGTAGCACTCATCCATTCATTTCAACAAATATTTATCAAGCATCTATATTTGTAAAACATTCTTTACCAATCTGTATGTGCACAATGCCCACCCCAGACACAAAACTTCCAGGGATACTCATCAAGCTCTTCCAAGAGCTCTCACATCATGCACTGAACCTCTGTACTCTTGTTATTCTATAAGACCCAGGCTGAGAGTGGGATGCCAGAATACTTAAAAAAAAAATTTTTTAATGTTTATTTATTTTTGAGGGACACAGAGAGACAGAAAGCACATGCAAGTGATGGGGAGGGGCAGAAAGATAGGGAGACACAGAATCCGAAGCAGGCTCCAGGCTCTGGAGCTGTCAGCACAGAGCCTGATGTGGGGCTCAAACCCATGAACCTTAAGATCATGACCTGAGCTGAAGTCAGATGCTTAACGACTGAGCCACCCAGGCACCCCTAGAGTACTTTTATATTATGTTTACAGCCCCTCTCATTTACCTTTGGAAGAAATCCAAAGCAATCCAAAGCAATCTTCCCATAGGTCTCTTAATAATAGGTCTCTACTTAATGACTATTTAACCATCCTTTTGAGTCTATTATGGAGATGGGTAATATGGGTTGGTAGTTACCGGTCTCTTTATGCTATTTTTTAATATATCCAGCCTGGCTATGTCTAATATCTCCACTTGAAATGTGGCATTTATTGCTTTTTGTCAGCTTTGAGGCATTTGCTAAAACTCTAAGACAGCCAGAAAAGTCCTATTCAATAACCAGTTACAAATAAATATGGCTCAGAGTTACCTTTGCAAATAAATACATCCACATCTTTGTCCTTAACAACCTGTGACTAAAGGCTATACAGTTGACCCTTGAACAATATTAGGGGTTAGGGGTGCTGACCCACTGTGTAGTCACAAATCTGTGTATAACTCTTAACATCCCCAAAACTTAATTACTAAGGGCCTCCTGTTGACCAGAAACCTTACTGATAACATAAACAATTAATATATATTTTGTATGTTAGATGTATTAAATATTGTATTCTTATAAGAAATTCACTAGAAAAAAGAAAACATTAAGAAAGTTGCAAGGAAGAGAAAATATAATTAGAGTACGGTACTGTAAAAAGTCCATGTACAAGGGGATCCATGTAGTTCAAAGCCATGTTGTTCAAGGCTCAACTGCATTTCCCTTTACATATATAAATTATTATGTCATGAGTCCCCACTGGTTAACTGCATATTTGTGTGACAAGGTCAGAAATTTAATAATTTACTCAGATGTGAACAAAAAATTCTTTATTTTCCATCACTAGTCTCAGTTTTTCCCAAGCTTCAAAGTTGAACAGGTTGACAAAGTTCACCCAGAGTTCAATGAGACACTCCAAGAGCCATTGGGTATAATTCTGAGGTTGACTTTCCTTGCTGCCATAAAGTCTCATAAACCCCTGCTCATACAGAAGCCATTTGGGAAAGGAGAAGGGAGAGGAAAGTTCCCTGAATGACCATTTACTCGAGTGTTTCCACTCGAGTTCAACAGAATGGTTGAACCAGAAGAGACTGAGCTACCTGTAACAAATTTGAGCACCACCTCAGCATGCAGCCTTGTTTCCAAGCTTAGCTGAAACCTAGTTATCATTAAGTCTTCCGAGAATGTGTAGATATAATAGAGGTATCATCTAGACAGAAACTTAAAACCATCATGTTCATCAGAATCCAAGTTAATGATGGTTTCTTTAATTTCCTGACTTTTTATAAGTTTCTGCATCATTGTTTTCAGCAACTAATGTCAACTTCATGTTAAAAGCAGCTCTAATATTAGCCCAAAAAAGTCCATGTTTGCTCTTCTCCTTGGGCCATTCCAAGTAAGTCCGCTGTGTCATGAGAGCCTTCAGCTTGTGATACTTGCTGGGAATGCAGTTCTGTGGAATGGGTTCCAGCAAGACCAGGATTAAGTTATTAGATCCTTCATGAAAGAGATTGTGGTGGGCAAAGTAGAGTTCATAATGACACCACTCACTCTGAACAAAGTTGGGAGACAAAACAAAGATGGACTTGTAACTTTTCTCAATGCAGTTTATGATATTCTCCACAATGCTCTTGCCAGGAACAAAGTTTCGCTCATGGAGACAAAACATTAAATCATCTTTTTCTAGGTAAGGTAAAAATTCAATCTTCACCCAGACAGAATCATGTTCACTGTATGAAATAAAAGCATGGAAGTGGAGGTTTCTTTGGAGTTCCTCTAAGGGTATGTTCCTTGCCCTACGCCGAGTCTGGGTCCACTGACACACCATCCGGAGATACCAGGGCAGATCAAAGTACATACAGAGGGCAGTCACAGTAACAGTAGACACCAGCAGAGCGACCCCAATGGTGACAAGCAGCAGGGCTGTGTTGCAGGATAACTGAGACACGTGAAAGTCCTTTAGTGGGGTTCCCTTATAGCTTTCTGGATAGTCACACTTATAAGAATTAGGCCAACCCTCTACCACTTCACTTGATACTTGGCCTACACTTTGGATAAATTCTCTTAGCTCACATGTACATTGGAATGGATTGTTTCCTGCTCTCATGGATCTAATCTTCTGGCAGCTGTGGAAGAAATCGGCTGATGGGCTGGAAACTGAATTATGGTCAATGATCAGTACGGAAAGGCTGCTAAAAGCACCACAGTCAGGAAGGTGGGCTAAAGAATTGGAAGCGACATTGAGTTCCTGCAAAGCTTCTAGTTTCATGATTGGTTTAGGAATGCTCCTTATTCTGTTATTGTGAAGATCAAGTACCGTGACTTTAGGAGGTAGACATCTGAAAACAGAGTCAGTAAGTATATTTGAAGACAAATTTAACACCACTATACTCCCACCCCAAGTGCAATTTCCATCATGTCTATCATATTCCAAAGAATTCCAGCTAACATCCAATATTTCCAAAGATGTCATATGCTTAGTCATGAGACCTACTTTGTAAAGGTTTTTTAATTTGTTCTTTTGTAAGATAAGTGTTTCCAATTTAACTAGTTTGGAACAATCTTGAAAAACACTATCTGTGAAAACATTCTGGGTAAAGTTCAAAAACTGAAATGTGCTTGATGTCTGAGGACAAAGCATGTGTATAAAAGGTGTATCTGATAGGGTTAACTCCATAATGTTCATCTCAGAAAAAAATGTATATAACACTGTCTGTGAATAAATAAAAACTCTGTTTATAACATGCTCTATTTTCAGTGCTTTCAGTGCTGTTTTAGAATAAGTAAAATCTTCTTTATCAATGCTTTCAACTATTGTTAAATTGTAAATATTGAGATGTTCTATAGGTTTGGGCCAAAGAAACTGAAAAACTCTAACCAAGCATTTCCAAGTTGTTTCCACATGTTTGAGAGTAAAATTCAGTAAAGTTGGACCTCTACTGAGTTCTGAGAGAAATTTAATTAAAACCTGACAGTTGTCATTATTCAACTTAATATTAGTCAGTTGTAAGCACTGTAAACTGTTAACTGATATATTCACTTGGAAAGAGAATAACTGATTTGGGTGAAAAACAAGGTGAAGTGTTTTTGTATTCAGAATTTGAAGACTTTCTGTTTCACTTTCTTTTGCATAATAACTTTCTAAATCCAGAAGGATGTGACTTAGATGCAAATGAGCAATTGGTAGCAGATCTAAGTGTCGTAACTTTGCAGCACTTAATCCTAAGAAATTTAGTTGTGTCAAGTTGCCAAATTCCTTACAGATGGGCAGGACATCAAAGTCATTGAAGGAGAGGTCTAAATGCTTCAGACTCATGATAAGATGGCAAGACATCTTCTGCAACTGATTGTGAGATAAGTCCAAATATTCCAAATCCTGGTTGAACTTGAAAATGCTAAAATCAAGCCACTGGAGTCTATTATAGGAAAGTCTCAAAACGTTCAGTCCCAAGAGGTAGCTAATGTCAGAGAGGTGAAGCTTGGATATGTAGTTTTGAGAGAGATCTAAGACTTTGATTTTTGGTGGCAGGTCTTTTGGAACATGAGTAAGTTTCATTTTTGACATGTCAACTGCAAATTCACTTTCATCAGAGAACTGGATTATGGTTCCAACTATTAAGGTCACAATGTACACAAAGCAAAAGCTTCTGGTGACAAATTCTTTGTCTTTGGTCATGATGTTGAAAGGGCTATCCCCCAAAGGGCTGTTGCTATTCTTCAGAGCATCTTGATATGTGTCCAAATTCTAGAAATACAATATACATTAAGACATATAAATATTGGATGATTGCTCTCAGATCTCTATTTCCTAATACAAAAATCTCAATGATCTTTTCATTCACTATCAGAGTCATTTCTGTCCACATAATTAAGTGTAATATTGTCGGAGGCCGGCTCTGGCAGGTCCAGGGGTCCCTGAAGGATGGATGGTGTCGAAAAGAGAGAGAGTGAGAAAACCCCGAGATACTATCTGATCACCAGGCAGGCATCTCAGTCCTGTCGATTTTGGTGTCTTTATTTATAGGTCAAATGTTAACATGGCATCAGGAAATGGAATTTTTACAATGGATAGCTCTTTGTGATAAGGTGTTTTTGGAAAATGTACAGACACAGGTTTTACAGAAGTCTTCTTGCAGAACTGCCCCAATTATAGTGAGGTTGAGTAACTAAGAAAATAAC